TCCCTTCCCTGCACACGCTCCAGCCCCTCCAGGTCTCTCCTGGCTGAGGGCCCAGAACTGCCCCCGGGATTCCAGGTGTAAAGGGAACTCAAAAGTTTCTTTTCTGTGTTCATGCCATGGTTCCTGTGAGTGCTGCAGTTGAAGGTTCAGTGTGAAAGTTACTCTGTGAAGGACCCAGGTATTTAAAATCTAATGAAAAAGGTGGGATGTTCAGCCTTTTCCATGGCCCTGCTCTGGTGGCTGGAAGGGAGAGCCCCTGTCAGTAAATGTTCCTGGAGGGAAGTGCTCAGGGCAGTGGCAGAGTCACCATCCTGGAGGTGCTGGAAGTCGTGTGGATGTGGCAGTGGAGCCCGTGGGTCAGTGGTGGCCGTGCTTGGTGGTTGGACTCGGTGATCTCAGGGGTCTTTTCCAGCCCTGGCAGTTCCATGGGGATGGACAGCAGAGGGGCAGCATTAACCGGTCCCTTTGTGCCTCCCAGCCAGCCGTGTCCCATCACCATGTTCTGGAAGTTTGATCTGAACACGACGTCGCACGTGGACAAGCTGCTGGACAAGGAGGATGTGACACTGGAGGAGCTGATGGACGAGGATGACGTCCTGCAGGAGTGCAAGGCCCAGAACCGCCGGCTGCTGGACTTCCTGTGCCAGCAGCACTGCATGGAGCAGCTGGTCACCCTCATCACCCATGAGCCCCCCCTGGACATGGACGAGAAGGTCCGATTCAAGTAGGTATTGGGGCCCTGCCCTCCCACCCCACAGATCCTGGGGCTGCAAACCAAGGCTTCCCCCTGGGCCTGTCCTGCGGTGCCAGGGGTGTAACCTCTTCAGTGGGGAGCACTGGGGGTGTGTCACAGCATTTGGGGGCTTGTAGGGCATTTTCAGACCCTTTCTGCTTTACTTTTAGTAGTTTAACATGGAGCTTGTCTTACAAAAATATCTCTTGTTGTTCACTCAAAATCAGCGTCTCCAAAGCCCCTTGAGTAGGGTTTCGTTGGAACTGTAGCACAAGGGGGAGAAATCTCTGAAGCCAATGGGTTTTCAAACCCCCAGAAGAAAGTGAGCTGTAAAGTGAGTGGAAAATGTGATATTCTCAATGTGCTGGACATTGAGCCCCTGCTGGTTTCAGGGATCACAGCTCCAGAGGACCTGACTGCACTCAGAGCGTGCTGAGCTCCTCACACGGGTTTGGTTCTCACAGCAACTTGTGTTTATCCACTTTTAGCTGAATGTATACTTCAGAGTATTTACAGTTTGGACTTGGGAAGTTTGTTTGTCTTTGTTAAGTTTATATAAAAATAAAGGGTTGCTCTGACTATAAATAAATAAAACCAGGCAGGTTTTTCCTGGTGGGAATGGGTCAGTGTTGGCCATTGCTCAGAGCCCACAGAAATGGGAATGTTTGGGATTATTGTCAGGTGAGGCAGTTGATAGATGTGATTAGGTGACTGTTCCAGGTGAGGGAATGCCAGGGAATATGTTCTGTAGTAATCTGGAATATGCTTTGGCTGCTTTTGCAAGGATCCTGCTGTAAAAGGTGAATTTGAGACCCCCC